AGTATTAAACAACTTAACGAGCCGACCAAGTTTTTGTTTTGTCCCCCTCTATAAAAAAGAAATCTGAAATATCGTCCCTGAGTATATATATATATATATATATAAATCAGTATATATATATATATATATATATATATATATATATATAATGATTATAGATGATGCCCATAATTTCCTATTTGTTTTGCAAATCTCAGGATGCTACATTGGTAAACGACCCACCATTTGTGCAATCATTGCAAGCAACAGCCCCAAGAATTTACTGGCGTAGAAGAACTCAAAGATGCGCAGACAGAACAGGATGTAGTCCACGCTGAAGATGACGATGGCTGTCTCGCCGAGCTCTCCACGCATGTCTGGGTAGTAGTAGGCAGCACAGCGGAATGACCAGGCGAGGAGAAACAGCAAATACGAAGACAGGTCGATGAGCAGGAGTATGTTTGGTGTCCGAATAGCCTTAGAGCAAATTTGCTGTTTAAAAAAAAAAAACGGAAATAGTGCAAGAATATACATCTGTGAAACGGGAGGTCAAATGTATCAATAGTAAGTTCATGTTGCGCGCCCTTCTTCATCTCAAAGAAATAGTAGAACAAGTTATGTGGAAGCTTGAAATAGAAAGACAGGGCCATAAAACAAAAAAGCTTCAGCTAAGAGTCTTCCTAATCAGACAGGACACATGAAGGCACATTTGAATCGTTGTCCTGCATGGTTAGGTATGCTCTCAGCCGTAATGTTCTCCTTTTTTCATTTTTTTTTTTTGGGGGGGGGGGGGTCCTTTCTTTCTACTTCAAGATTACATATACCTTGTTTTACTATTTCCTTCACACAGCTTGAAGAGTGCAGCCCTTCTTTTATTAATCCTTGATCCAAAAGGGTTTTAAATTCATTAAAACATAATTTTTAAAAAATAAACTAATAGTAACAATAATAATAACAAACTCAACTTCAGATTTAACATAAGCGCAAAGGTTGGGAAAAAAGGTTTTAAACAAAAAAAGAAGTATGCTAATTTTGTATTGATTGGGCCTTGTTCGATATTAATGATGCAACGGCTTACCTTAATGAGAGAGGACAACTTGTCACATTTATCTGGACGTTCCTTGGAGGACAAATTTTTCACTCTCATCCTTTTAGTGACATAATCAATTTGCTGAAATGTATAGTTTTTTTTTGTAATGTCACGCAGCTGTGAAATAATGTTTCATTAATTTACGGAGGACAATTTCGTATATATTTGAGAATAGCAAAATATAGAACACATTTTGAAATCACGAGGAACAAGCTGCGGTTAAATAGACTTTCTAAGTTTACCTGGGGAAGAATAATGACACCAAAAAATACAACATTATTGTGAAACATAAGCTGTGTCGTGTAATTTACCTTTGTATGGGTTGTACATTTAAGCTCTTTTAAAATTCAGCTCCTTAAGTGCAAAATAAGTAACAGAAAACTGAAAAACCAGTGTATACCAAGAAACGACAGTATCAACGCTCGTGACGGAAACGGTAAACAATTTAAATATACTTGTCAATGTATGTTTAAAAAATTAAATTTAAATACTCGGACAAGAAAACTTTATCAACGTTACAGCACAGCAAGTAAAAAAGTAAAGATGCAACAATTATTTAAATACATCCATAGAAAGCACAATCATGTATGTAAGATCTCGCAAATGACTAGAAAAAAAATCGTAACACTCTCTATCTGTTATGAAAACTGACATATGATATATATGTATATATATATATATATATATATACATATATATATATATATATATATATATATGTCTATTTTTTTTTTATATATAATGATCATCTATCAAAGTGTTCGAAATTCCCCATTTGAGTTTGGTGTCCTATATAAAGATGCAACAAATATATAAATACATACATAGAAAACACAAACATGTATGTAAGATCTCGCAAATGACTAGAAAAAAAATCGTAACACTCTCTATCTGTTATGAAAACTGACATATGATATATATGTATATATATATATATATATATATATACATATATATATATATATATATATATATATGTCAATTTTTATTTAATAAATAAGGATCATCCATCAAAGTGTTCGAAATGCCCCATTTGAGTTTGGTGGCCAATATTGCTGCCCACGGATACTACTTACCAGCTAAGTGCTATGTCTTATTTTTATACCGTTTTTTCTGTTGTTTTGTTCGCTGACGAAGGCTTTCTGCCGACACGTTCGCTGTTTTGTTGCGTTTATTTTTTCAGGTTTAACCCTACTTTGTTTTACTCATTTTATTTTATCCGAGCATACCCCGGCCGTGTTCAGTATGTGTGCTTTTAATTAAAGCTGTTTAGTTACGAGGAAACTAGCAGCAAAAATTCAATTTAGGTGGAAAAAGGTGTCTATAATAAAATCAACGAAGTGCTGTAGCTACATAAGCGTATCAAAATATGTAGCCTTTTGTTTGACAGCTTATTAATATGCCAACCATTGTTACGTTTTGTTTTCAAAACAAATGTCTATCGTCTTGACGTGTTTTTTTTTTCAAATTCTGTGAGGAAATTTTCAACGGTATACATAGCTTCGCATGGCGGAACACTAGTGTGCCACGTTTCACAGTTTCAGAGCCCTGAGACATAAGCGAATTGTAGTTTTTTTTGTTGTTGTTTTTTTGTTGTTTTTTTTTGTTCTTTTTTTGTTTGTTTATTTTTGGAAATGTCAATCATGGCTAACTGGAATTCACTTACAGCTAGAACAGATTGTCTGCTCAACTCTTTTCTGTAGTGTATTAAATATAGCAGCTGAAGTTGAGTCAGTTTCATTGCTGATTCACAAATTAAAAAAAAATCGTTTTTTTTTGTTTTGTTTTCAAAAAGGCGAACGAATAAACAGCAACAGTGACTGATCAAATTCAGAGCTGAGCTGCTGTTACAACATCGTGAACTGGGAAAGCAGGGTGTAGACATTGCATCGCATTGAGTGATCGACCTGTGCATGAGTGTTAATGTGGCAGTGCGTCTGGATACACTGTCTTTTGGAGAAGCCGAGAATGTTAAGAGCGCACAGAGAGTTGTGTCAGCTTAGGTCCATTGCAATGTAGAGTTAACGTCGTCCTTTAAGTGGGAAAACTTCCGCCCCTGATCAGCAATTAAGAACTATCATATTTGTTGTTTTTTTTTAAATGTAAAACAAACTTGTTATGCTCAGGATCATTTGAATATGTATTACTAATTCTAAGAGGTTATTTAAATTTCTTTATCATCGATTTCGTTCCAGGGACAAAAATGTCAAAATTGTTAAGGAGGAGATTAGGATTTGGCTGCATTGCCTTAAATGGGGTTTGAGAACATCATGGATTGGATTACTGTTACGGTAATATTATTCGGCTGTTCAAAACCTATTCATTATTTTACGATCGTCCCTTTACGTTAGTACAATACAGTCTGGCATCTGTTTGGCTGCTGTCGCAATGTGACTAAGGAAAATCATGATCAACGTGTGGTCAGAAAAGGTGAGGACTAATAAAGAGAGCATCGTGTCAACAAGATAAACTGCATTCATGATAAACGACTTTCAACTGAGATTAAAACCTTGAAAAGCATAAACATCACCCAGCTAACGCATCGCTGTCTTTTGCTCTACCATAAATTGACGTGTTCGTGTAACATTCGGGCTCATCATCATACCCATCACTGTTGCTGCAGCCCTTGTAGAACTCTGACCTGTTGCCACCGCATCCTTCTATTCAGACCGATCCATCACTTTCCTTCTCCGTGCACGGACACAGATCCTCCACAGATCCGTCTCCTCATCATGAAGCCAGATCAGTTTCGGTCGACCCGAGGGCCCCCGTACCACTTAGTTTCTGTCCGTAAACCACACTGGGCCTCACCAGTCATCTAGTTATTATGAGACAATAGATGTAAGCAAAATGCGTGCTTCCATTCATATGTATTTACCAGACGGATCCCCTCTAAGATGTAAAGAACGATCCAAGACCAGACCACCCACTCCAGCCAGTTGAATCTCGCCATGTCCAGCTTGGATACCAGCAGCACGCCGTAGATCATCAAGAAGACAATGAGACCAAGCTGGCAAATAGATCAGAGAAACCCATTGTTTATAAATATTATTTCATATACAGTTTGTTGGAAATATTATGTAATGTATTATTTTTTAAACTTGTTCAATAAATGGTAAATTTAAAGGCAAAATTTATTGTAAATGTGTTTATTTATCGCACAATTATTTCTAATAAACATAGTATAATTATGCATTTTTAAAAATCTCTTTATGTTGATGTGACTCACAAAATTAAGCCAGAAAATCACATGTGGAGACATTAAATATTTTATCTGACTAAAACAGCCGGAAGCTCCCAAGCAACTGTTATGAAGAAAAAAACAACAAATTTGAATATGTTGAATATATGGAAATTAAAAAAAAAAAAAAAGAAGTTAGTAGTTTTATTAAATTCACCAGTAGCGGAATGAGACAGCAAGCTTAAATGGGCTAGTAGACTTCTGTCATAATGTCCTTTTGATGATTAAATAATGTTTCCTTGTTTCATATTTATATTTATGTCTTTACGTTAATTTCATAAAAATTATAAATTTGGAACACCCTTCCAGTCGATCTCAGAAACAACCAGACACTGGAGTCCTTTAAAACCGATCTAAAGACACATCTATTTCGCAAATACCTTCTGGGATGATTGTCTACCTTATTTTCCAGTTAATGCATAATGGCTGTGTTGCTCCGGGTTGAAAAGGCTAGAAAGACTTTGAGATTGTATGCTTGTAATTAGTTTTTGTAGTGTTGCGTTTGTTTTAAATGTGGTAAATTATAGATATGTTTTTTGTTGACTTGTACCGCGCTTCGAGCCTTTGAGGATGAAGCGTGTTTTTGAAATGAACTTTATTATTATTATTATTATTATTATGTCATATTATTATGTCAGTGTTTAAAACATTGCACATTTTGATAATATTTATTTCAGACATTTTTTCTTCATATAGAAAGTGTAAATATGTCGTTATTTCTAAACAGGATTAGATCTATTAACTCTTTATTTGAGGGGCGGGTAGGGGATTGGGGGGGGTATCTAAAATAAAATTTAATTTTGATTTATTAAGTTTTTTTCCCAATTTTAAAAAGAAAAAAAAATATAATAATAACCGATTGATAGCACTGAGACCTTCACTAAAAGAATGGTTTTATAATTCAATAACAGGCATTTGTAGTTTGACGATTTTTTTCATAAGATAAACCTCTTAGCACAAACGAGAACGTGTTGTAAATTAAAAAAAGGTGTATGTCGTTACTTGTTATCAGTCTCAGGTTCCGCCATCATTTCATTCGCCCTAGAAAAGAAGAGGAACAAATAATTCATCTTTATATTTTATTTTTTTTTTAAATCTGAGCTTTTTAATAAAAAATATTGATATTAAATATGATAAATGCCAGAAACCCTATTATGGACTTTGCTTCAAAGATATATATTTTTTTAACATGAAAGTATATAAATATATAAGTCTATGATTGACAATGCGATTGCTACTTTATACATTTGTGGCACTGTTTGACACAATTTATAAATACCCCAATTAACTTTGTGTCTAAAAATGTCGTTTTTTTTTCTTTAATTTGTATTTTCAATATTTAAAAAAAAATCATTTTTATATGTAAAAAATAACGCATGGCTCAGAAACCTACTTAACGCATGCCAGACTTGGCACACATAACAATTTTCTGAACTAAGTTGTGTGGACCTAGAATTTAATACGTTAAATTAGAATCGCTCGTAGTTGCTTTTTTTTTTCAATGGCCTCAAACCTTCTTGCAGCGAGCCAACCTAAAAACTACTGTGCACTTTACCTGAATATACACGATTTGTGAATGAGTTCTGGTGTGTTTGAATCTATGAGTGTTTGCGTAAATTCCCCTATTCATTTTTAAGTAGTTTGAATATTTGGGAAGTTGTTGGTTGGAGGTATTATTATTACTTTGTGCTACTCACCTCCGTTTCTCGTTTCTGCGTTGTATCCCCTGTCAAAGATAGTAGACACACCATGAATTGCGATAAAATTTTAATAAAATGAATTTTAATGAATTTTAATAAAAGTTAAAGTAAACAATGAAATTTTTAAAAATAAATAAATGGTCATTAGTTTTTTTAATTTAATTTTTTTTTTTTCAAAGTCTAATAACAATAAGATCTGTGCAAAGGCATTTTTGTTAAATAAACGATTGTGAAAACAAATCGATATTGTTGTTTATACCAAGCGTTGTCTTCATTATCTCCTTATTAAACAGTTTAAAGGCATCGGATTGATAGTTTCAATGACGCTCTCATAGTGTTAATGTAGTGTTGTTGTTTTTTAATTAAATGATTCAAAGACAGCTCTAAGAAATAAAACATTTTAATTTTACTAGAAATGCAGTTTAGATTACCAGCGTGGAATACCAGCATGGATTACCAGAATGGATTCACCAGCATGGATTACCAGCATGGATTACCAACATGGATTACTAGCATGGAATACCAGCATGGATTATCAGCATGGATTACCAGCATGGATTACCAGCATAGATTACCAGCACAGACGGCAAAATGGATTAAAGGCCTTGTTGACAAGCGTGGCTGCCACCATGGATTACCAGCATTGATTTGCACCATTGGTTAATGGCAAGCATTGGCAACATGGATTTGCACATGGTCTACCTGAGTCGGCGGGCTGTCCACCTCCTGCCCCCACCACCACAGCTGTGTACACAGTTTCTGGCACGCCGGCGTGGACAGAAACTTCTTGTTGTGGGAGTCCAGTGCAAGACGTACACAGCTGGTTTCGCCCCACTTGGACATCTGCAGTCTCAGGAGATCAAAGGTTCTCTGCTCGTCCTTCTTGTAGCTGGAGTTGATTGTCTTACAGGCTAAGCTTGTAAATTCCCTGGAGACGTGTTTCATTAGACATTAAACAACATTCATTAGACATTTGCCATAATTCGTTAGAGATTGAACACGATTTATCAGAAATTAAACACCATTCATCAGAAATTGAACACAATTTGCAAAAATATATGATTGTTTTCACTTTTATTTCAAAACAAGTATATAAATAATTACATGACATTACGTATCGCCACAACTGGATTTAACTTACCCCATATAGTTTTTTAATTTACTCTCGTCGGTTCTACTTCCCGCCTTCGATGATTTCAAATCAGCCAGCAATGATTTGGCGATACCGTAGGCAAACATAGCTGCAGCTGTTTGGTGCTGTGGAATATATAATTGTCGGAACCTTTAGCTTATACGTAGGTTATTTTTGGGTTTGTTTTTTTGTTTTTTTTGGGGGGGTTTTTTGTTTAATATTCACGATGTCTTAACATTTTAAAAAGACATAACATGTCCGAACATGGTTTCACAATGGTGTTGTTAAGATTAACTATTTTAACATGACGGTAGCCTAAACAAAAATTTGAAAAAAATAGTTCTACATTTTTTTTTTATTGAATGAATTGATTAATGCATTAAACTATTTTTATAAGTTGCTTATTTTTTTGTCAATACCATTATATGTGTTTGTTGGCAATGGCAAATACAAAAAATATATATTTAAATCAAAACAAAAAATCGGTTCCATAGCAACTTTGATTCATTATGTATTCTCTTGTTCTCGACAATGTCTTACAGAATTAGACAAAAAGCAGGAGGCAAGAGACGGTAAAAGGACACGCTTTTAAAATAATTTTCAAATCGTCTTTTTATTAAAACGTAATTAATATAAAAATATAAATAATAAATGATTAGTTTGATCAGTTCTCATTGGAACATGTCAAAAAGAAAAATCTCATCGGAGATCCGGTGTTTAATGAAATATATTAATTTATTTTTTAATTTGAAAAAAATAAACTTTGAAAACAAACATTCATTATCTATCTAATTATTTCTTACGTCTAAATATCTCCACAGAACTTTTGACAGTTCCACTTTCTTGGCCAGGATTGACCAAATGAACAGATCTCGCATGGCAGTTTTATTTTTTTCAGAATAATACACTGTCGAAAGATTTTCAAGTCAAAAGAAGTTAGCGTGTTCTGAAATGTAGTGTTAAGAACACGTTCCCCCCATTATCGATTGTATGGGTAGCAATAATGATGTATTACTAATAATCGTGATGTTGATATTCTCTAGTATAACTATATTTTATTTTTAATTGAATAACTCAAAGATAAAAAAAGGACAATTTTATGGACTCGTAGTGGCGCCCTTGTTTACTTCAAGTTTATCTGACTTCTCAAAGATTAATATAACAAGCTACTTTTCATAGCATGTCATTGTTCATATTGTGTGATGACCTATAACCGACCAAGATTGTTAAACTGCTTGTTGGAACCCACCCTTGGGATCTAAGGAACTAATTGAAATAGACCTTAGTTTTTATATTAAAAGGCGCCTTGAATTTTTTTTTTCACTTTTCTCTGTGGATGCACTAATTAATAAAATGTTTAATTAATATATATATATCGGTATATTTATATATTATATATGTGTGTGTGTATAGACATAAATTACAAACAAACAAACAACGTTTTCCACAACTAGGATCTAGGTTCCTTCCCTTTCTTTTATTGAATAAAAAGGTATATTAGATTTGTATGACCTACTTTCCTGGTGATCTCTTCCTGAATCATCTTTCAGTAATTTTGGACAGCTCATATGATAAGATCCTCCCAAAAGCTTGTTGACAAAAGAAGCAACATCCGACAGTTTCCGAGGATAGTCCCTCTGAAAGCCAAATGTTACAAATGTTAACGTTATTCTACTCTAGTGTGTTGCTTTTTTTTTTTTTCTTTTTTGGTGTTTTTTTTAAATGTATAATTCTGATAACACACATTCAACCTATTTGATGTAATGTTGACCACATAGTTTCTGAGTCTGGTACCAGGTTACAGTTTTTTTTTTTAAAAATTGAAGTTGCATCAAAATAAAATTCGATAATGAAATTAAGTAGTCCCCTTTTCGATAGAGTATATACTAGCTTTTCTTAGCCTTTGATCACTTAAATATTTTTAACACGTATGGTCCATGCCAATTTAATAAATTTATTTGATAAATGCTCTTTTCCCCTTTTTTAAGGTTTTTGTGGCCCTGAAAACATTATGCTAAGTTTCACTCGGGACTTTTTGGCTTACTATGATACACCCTGATATGTACACCATGCCACAGATATTTTCATTGGTGCTAATTGTAATAGCAAAGATATTAAAATTGGATTGGTGTAGCTTGAAGTGTGACGAAGTTAGATCCACATTAGTAAGGCACGCAGAAGAATAAATGAGATATATAAATCAATTCTAAATCCCTCTTAGAAACTGGTTGGCTCTTAATTTTTAGTCTACTAATAGCCAAATGTTTTTAGAACATCTTGTAATAGAGAAAAGCGGAAGACGGGATAGAAAACTTTTGAAATTGTAAAATTTTTTAACGTCTATAACTATGAGAATTTTCACACACAAAAACGTTATGAATGTTTTTTTTTTTTAAATAATAATGAAATTTTCACAAAGAATATAATGAAACTTTCCGTTCAAGACATGAGTTTTAAAATATGGCATGAATGGAAATGTTTAAAATCATGAATTTTTAAAGCAGAAATGAAAATAATGGGTAATGTGCCATTTTTTTTTGCAGAAAGAAAATGTGTTATTACAGATATTAACCTTAGTTTGGTAGAGTTCGTGCACTTTTTGTTGTGAAAACGCAGATTCCATATCAAAATTTTCCTTGATGAAAAACTCTACAAAGTCAACTTGGCCCTGTTTCACGGCTTCAAATATTATGCGTGTGAGCCATGGGTTTACCTGTTGAAAGGTATATGTTACAAATAATTAAAACAAAAAAGTGCCCACGTAACCCAAGCGTATAAGGCCTACCTGATGGAATGTATTGTTAAAATATAATTTTATACATGGTGTACATTTGAGCACACATTTTTGTATCGGTAGGAATGTATAGAATACTTTACACCTAAATAAAAAATCAAAAGTCTACCTGAATAACTAAATTATTTATTTTTTTTAAAACATATAAAATCAAACATGATGAGGGTACGTATTTTTTTAATTTAGTATATACGCTTTATTCCTCTTTAAACATACCCACAGCACAGCGGGCGTTTTAATATTATTACAAAGTATCAACCTTCAACTTATTTTCAAACCTTTAAGTTCAGTTCTTTCCAGTTGAAATGTTCATCATTCAGTAGCACATTGAACTTATTGAGCTCCGTGCAGAGCTTATAGAAATGAACTTTTCCCATGTAGTTTTTTGGTCCGGGACTGGAGAAAGTATCTTTCATGGTGGAGCGATAAGCTGCGATTGAATATACAGAACAAAACCAATCATCGATTTAATATAAAGCTTTGCATCGCAATCAAATCAGTTGTATTTTGTGTATATTTAAATAAAATAAACATCTACACTTGGTGATACAAATTGATTGATACATCCCTCCATCTTCAAAACAGATACCTAAATCAGCTCGATCAGGGCGAATTCTTTCTCTTAAAGATAGGACCAAGAGATATACAAATTATTCTGTTCCCCAGAATGTATAAATTTATAGCGTGCTCTCTCCAGCGATTAACAAATCTGAAGGATCCCTTACGAAATCAATATTTTCACCAACGGACTTCAAGGATGGCTTATTTCTGCTCTTAAGGACTTTGCAATTCTATATTTTTTTCCCCGCTTGTTGGCTTACAAGTCTATCATAACTCAGGCAACATGCGTTATAGATTTCAAATCAAATGTTTATTTAATGACGAGCGTTTAAATTTTAAAGAAATCGTATGTTCTTTTTCTAAAGTAAATTTATAATGGTAATTATCTGGAAAACATTTGTAATTAGACAGACAGATTTTATAGAAGAGCAACAAGCATTTTTTATGAGTTTGTTGTCACATTCATTTACATCGAACTATTTCCTGGAAACTTTAAAGGCGATTAAGTCCCATTTTTTTTAAAAATATAATTTAAGCAAATGTCGCAATTTGGTTGGGGGGGGGGGGGGGGGGATAGAGGTTCCTCGAACTATATCTGTAAAGGTGACACGGTTCCCTTGTGTCACCTCAGTTGTTGGGTGTACTTATAGAGGGAGAAAGTGGGTCATAATAAGGTTGTGTTCCCCTGTGTCACCTCATTTGTTGGGTGTACTTATAGAGGGGGAAAGTGGGTCATAATAAGGTTGTATTCCCCCGTCTCACCTCAACTGTTGGATGTACTTCTAGAGGGAGAAAGTGGGTCGTAATAAGATTGTCGGCCAATAATTTCATTTGTTTTTCTTCTTATAAATTTGATTACACCTGAGAATCTTAAATCAGTTGTTGGCAGTTAAATAGGTTGAACACATTCAAAGGATCTTAAAATTGAAATAATCACGTATAAAAAATCCTAACTATTCCTATTTTTATTTTAAATTTATAGCAACTGATGCCTAAATTGATGGTAAGAAAATTGCAAATGAAACATATGCAACTTATACCTCTCTGTATTGATAAAAGCAGTTTTTCTCCAATGCATGTTCCGTTTTGCTGGTCATTAATTCCTAATACTTCAAGATTGTCGTATTTCACAATGTCTGAATATGGATTATCTCCATCCCTAAAAAAGAAAATTTAAAAAATTTAAAAAAAAAAACAAAACAAAAACATAAAAATTATAAGAATTTAAAATATTTTTTTTTCTTAAAAAATCAGCTACGCAAAGAAAAAAAGAAAAACTACTAGTAAACAAAATCTGTCAGGTTGAATTTCAAATCAAATAAAAATGTGAAATAACCAAAATACAATTAAAATGCAAATCCTAAACTACAGGATAGTATAAGAGTGTGATAAATATTCTTTATTGAAACAAACTGTTAAATAGTTAATTAATTGTTATTTTTTACTAGGGTTATCATAATAATAATAAGAAGAAGAGGTCTTATATAGCGCGGTACTACAGCCTAGGGCTGGGCTCACCGCCCTGTACATAAAAATTGTATCAAAAGAGACATAATCATGACATTAAAATAAAATACATGTATGAAATAAAGAACAGCAATGTATATTCATCCACCCCACCACATAAATTTTACAAAGCAAACCATGGACGGCAGCCAGCAAAATCGTTTATCGGTCAGAGGAGGGGAATCAGTCAGGGGAGTATAATTTAAAAAGATATGTTTTGAGTGCAGTTTTGAAGGCCTGGGTGGTTGGTATATTGCGTATGTGTAGTGGCAAAGAATTATATTGTTTGGGGGCGCAGAAAGAGAAAGATCGTTCACCAAATGTTTTACTGTGTGTCTTGGGAACGGACACAAACGCGCGTGTCTACAGAGGAGCGAAGCTGTCGAAGGGGTGAATGGACAGAAAGAAGTTCGGTTAGATAGGAAGGGCAGGAATCCAAGAAAAAGTTGTGACAGAGAACAGACAACTTGTAGTCAATGCGTGCCTGTATAGGGAGCCAATGAAAGGAATGGAGTAGTGGAGTGACGTGATCACGTTTTGGTTTTTTTTTGGCCTTTAAAACTAGCCTTGCAGATGAGTTTTGAACTTTCTGCAGTTTTATCTATGCAGCGTTCTGGCGAACCTGACAGAAGAGAGTTGCAATAGTCAAGACGAGAGAGAACAATCAGACATGCTTTACAGCAATACTTGCACAAGTTGAGCATGTTTTTTTGTTTTTTTTATGGCATTTTAACACGAGGAAAAAACAATATTTACTTGAATTTACTTGTTGAATTGATTATAACGTCTGCAATGCCACCTGATCCCTGATTGAAAAAAAAAAAGAAAAAGAAGAAACAAGAAGATTCAGTATTTCAATATAAATATCTATTTAACTTCAATAGACATGGTTGAAATCCATATGAAAATCATGATACTGGCACATACATACAACTACTTGCTTAGCTTACTGGATCATTTTAGTTACAAATTTGAATATTTTTTTTTTAAACATCCATTTACTATTAAAACATAATTTAAGGCTAAACCAAAATCATCACACTAAAGAGATGTGTGTTGTTGGTTTGCGATAGGGTTTCCCAACTTGGCCCTAGTCGCCCTAGACAAAGTGAGAGAGACTTATCATTGTAATTCCCCGGTGTCTAATTTCCAAGCATCATCATATTATCAAACATTAACCTGTTACGAAACATTATCATATCGCTTAACATTTTCTGATGTACGATTTTTTTTAGTATTGTATCACTTGATAAATTAATGTTTAGCCATATCTACAATTTTAATTAAGTAAAAAATAATACGGAATTGATAAGTAACTAAACGAACAAGAATCTTATTTAGCACGTACTTACGAATAAGCAGATAGTTTCATGGAAATTATGTTTAAAATAAAGCACACCTTTGTGAGAACTTATACACTTAAATACCGTAATATAACATCTTATTGTTTGAGCAAATTTAAGGTAAACAAAATTTTCTCAGGGGATAACATCATTATTATATACCAAAGCGCGTGTCCACAATATTAATTTAATCAATAAATGTAAATAAATAAAGGACCACGCTGAAGCTGTGTGAAGGCAATAGGTGACGTGGAAGCTTAAAACGAAAGAAATCTAAGAAAAATGTGTGCTGAACTTTATTTCAGGGCAATAGATTTTGACGTTTCGACTAAGAGCCTTCGTCAGAAAACAAGAAGAAAAAAAAGAAGAATAACAATTATCAGATCACAATAACAAAACTAAAAAGAGATTTCCCTTTTTGTTGCTGGAAGTAGGATTACAGGATGTGAAAATATATAAATATTTGTACTGTGGAAAAAAGAGAGTATATCTTTTAAATCGAAAGACAGGACAATGTGGGAAGAACGTCTCGGCTAAAAGCCTTCCTCAGCATACAGGACGCATGAAAATACGACACGAAAATAGAAACTAGTGAAAAACAAAAAATGTTAATTGATCTCCCCTGTTATTGTCGGCAGTTGGATTTCATCAACACATTGGCTGCCAGGCAACCGAAAAATCGTTGATCCAAACGCTTTCGACGTCCGAGCGCGCATCGAAGTTGTGTGACTGACAGTGTGTAAAAAAAGTTGTTTTATATAGTTTCTCTTGACAGTATCTTAGCATAGTCTTTTCTTTTCGTTATCACCACAGTCCAATTCTAAATATAATAATTAAAAGGGTTGACATTTTGTTTCCATTAATTATTCCTATCGTGCTATCATTAATGCTATACTATAGACATTTTCAAACGATTTTTATGACACAACATTTAAAGATTACCACTCACTCTTTTTCAGTGAAATTCTTTTCAACTTAACAGCCGCGGCAACTCAAAAAATGTGTACCTGCTGCAATATATATCAACATGCCACTTCAGTCTTATGTTCATTTGATCTTAAGGATTCTCATATAATGGAACATGAGACGGTCCCATTTGGACTGGGCTCTTCTTTTGGTCCACTCAAACAATGTTCAGCTTTCGAAGCTTGAGCTTGAACATTTCAATAATGGATTTTGATATGTCCCGTAGAAAAGTGATACACTAAATACCTTATAGTCTCGGTGCCGGACGGTGTCTCCCAATCAAATTACAACTTTTATGATTGATGTACTTCAATTAATGTAAAAAATTAATGATAATCTTGAATATTTATCCATAGATACAGATATAGCACTTTTTTTTTTAAAAAAGCCAACGATAATTTGTAAAGCAGTGCTCTCAGCCGTCTAAAAGAAATGCTGGATCAAGATAACTTGCGCATAGGCAGATTTTGATGTCCTGTGGTCATACACTCTTCTAATCCAGACGCTCAACCATGGGACATCCTTGTTTTGTACCACACATACCAGTGTAACCGATAACCAACACTGGATATATCGATATGAGTTCAATGTATACTTTTAATATGCCTCGTACGCCTGACAAATCAGTGTACTTAACATACAACTTGTAAACTTATCAACGTTCAACTTCACTTGTTGTTCGTCCGTCGAAGTCGACAAGGACCATCGAATCATCGGTGGGGGGGGGGGGGGGGGGGGGGGGATTACGGTGAGCTCTTAGGTGGCTTGTTAGACCGATCCTTTCTCGGAATAATCTATGACACCGTGGGCATGGAATAGTTGCTTCAGGCGATGACCTAATGTTGCTCTTTCGGACAAGCCTGCGTGTCTCAGTTGTGGTTATTCTCTTATATATCTAGCTGAATCCTCACACATAGATAGCTATGTCTTGAACAGCACACAACGGCCATCTCTATCCTTCCATAACAACAACTAAAACTAACGCGTCATTTCCCCTTACACAATTACGTCACAACACTCTTACACAAATGAAACAGCTA